GAAGGAGGGCTGGCCTAGACCAGGAAGTGTGAGCCCTGGGTTCAATGTCACGCTCCCCTCCCCCTGCCAATAAGTGAATGCAGTGGCTTTTCCAGGTGAAATTTACACGCAATCGTCTGCATCCAATCAACTAGCAACTCCAGGATCTCTCAGGTCAGGCTAGGTGAAGCTTCCCTCTACTTCAACCCTCTTTACAGCATTTTCACCTGGTTTCATCCATTAACAATGTTGGAGAAAGGACCACGATACGATTTTCCTGTGTTCCTGAGCAGAGAGTTGGATGCAGTCTAAACTGGTGGGTGGGAGGAGGGAGTCAGGCCAGGTGTGGGAAAAGGCACGGAGGAGGCAGCATAGATGTGTAATGTTCAGCCAGACAATGCCTGACCCTGCTTGTCTCCATCTTACATTCCTGTCTGAAAGCCCAGATACAGTTCTTGTTCTTCTGGGATGCAGCTGATGAGGATTATGTCTGGAGAGCATCCCAGTGAAGACCTTCTACATCTTTTCTACACCTGCGTGCTAAATGAGCAAGAACACCCAGGTGCTGAGTCAGACGTATGAATTTGCTGCACATTATGCAAACAAGTCACTTTGCAGGTCCAGGAATGAGTGCTATCCATAGCGCTGTTTTCCCGAACTCTCCATAATTCAAGAGGATGCAAGGTGAAAGCTGATCCAACAGTGCTCAGACCCAACTGCTCAGCACAGTGTATTGTAATAGGTGACAGCCACAGAGAAGGACCTGCTCAGCAGAGCAGAATCTGGGAAAACCGCTCCAGGTTAGCAAAGTTGGGGACTTGGGCCATGTAATCCTCAGTTCTTGAATGACAGCAGCAAAGGTGGATAAGCTCAGGATGTGAGGGGGTGGCAAAATGAAGCTGAAACCGTTCTGTAAAGGTGTGGTCAGGTAGCTGAGTTCCTAGGGACAGTGATCAAGATCTGCCTTTGCTATTCAGTGTGGTCTGTGGACCAGCTCGTCAGTGTGACCTGCAAACTTACAGTACTACCCAGTCCCCAGCCATACCCCAAACCTACTGGATCCGAGGATATATACACTGTTAATTCCAGGTGATTTGTTCACACAGGAAAGATTAAGTAGCTCTTGTACATCCCAGCAATTCCCTGTTGGTAGCAGCCCAGATCTTTAAAGAAAGGACCAGATTTCCTAGCCCATTGGGAATCTGGTCTCTTCCTCATTTCATCAAAAGTCTATGAATGGGCATGCTTCACTCCACGAGTGTACACCACTTACTTTTTTTTTTTTTTAACTACTGCTTTTTCTCCTGGAAACTGTCTTACTAAGAGCATTTCATTCTGGCAAAGCTATCATCCATGAAGGTGAGCACCTGATTGAAACTGGATAGGGACAATTTTTTCCCCTGAGGATTGATTGATTCTTCTGAGATCATTAGGAACAAGAAGAGCACAGAAGTAGGACTAGTAGGCATTTCCTCCTAGCACATACATGAGGACCCAGGTGAGAGCCAAGCTAGGCATGTCTCCCTAGCCAATGTGGAGGGGAACCCATGTGAGAGCAAAGCCAGAGGAGTTGGAGCTGAAAGACAGAGACAGAGAAACCATTTGAACACCCCAGCACAACTGTACCAAAAGTCAGGCCACTCTTGGATTCCAGCTTGAGTGAGCCCATAAACCCAGAGCTTAGCTTAAAGCAGTCATAGGTGGGTTTTCCGCTGTCGGTAACTAAAAGAATGGTCTAGACAACACAATCTTGAAATTGGATTATCAGCTCTTCTATACTGGAAGCGTTTATACCCTGGCACATAAGAATAAATGAGAGGAATATATTCATTCTGAGGTTCATAGCCTAGAATTTGACCACTGTGTGAATAAATTTATAAGATGCCTGTGGGTATACATTTAATCTGAGCCTGATTAAATGTAGGTGGTTTAAAATGTTTAGAAACACCCCCCCCCCCCCAGCCCTAAATACTAGTTATCTGTATTATAACACAGCAGCAGGCTGTATTTATTTTCTGGATTTAGAGGCAATGTGTACTGAAATTAATATTTAAATTTATGCCAACTGATATGCAAATAAGCGTGGCTTCGGTGCTTTAAAACCAGGAGAGGGCCAGACTGGAACACTGACACGTCAGTGGCACCACTGATGCTTTGATGGAACGAGACAAAGAGGCCTAAAGCGCAGATGAGACAGCTCCCTTGAAATGGCCAGTGCAGGTGGGGAATTTACGGCTGCATAAAGGGTTTTCAAACAGAAAACAGTGTCTCAATTTAAAGTAGCGGTTTAAACATTCATTAATTTACTCAAGGCAAACACGGCAACTTTTCAGACATGATGTTGCCAACAAATACAATCTACAACCCATACATAAAAAAAAATGTATTTTTATTTCTGCCAAACAAACACCGTTTAAACCTACAAAATTGTTTGCTCTGGTGTTCTTTTTGGGGAACAGTTGTTATTCACTACTGGTCATATATTTCATTTTGTGTACCTACTTTAATATGTGTGGTGTGTGTGTGTGTGTGTGTGTGTGTGTGTGTATGTGTGTGTATGCATATTTAAAATTAATCAGCTAAGTTACCCATGGCAGAAACTTGACAGGTAGTAACTTAAATGAGGTAGAATTTTTTTTTAAAGTGTCTGAGGATTGACTGGTAAGGTGTCTCAGTGGTTAGTGAGGACGGCCACTTCTAGGGCGTGACTCTTATCCTCTAGGTGGCTTCTGGGTCTCTCTGACCATAACAATCAACTTCTCTGTAGCAGGTGGAAGAAAGTTAGGGTTGCCTCCTCTCTTTAAATGGAACTCCCAGAACTAGCTTTCCACAAAGTGTGCCTTCCCTCCTAATGGTCAGCACTTAGTCCTGGGTCATACCTGACTGTGGAAAGGCTGGGAAACAGAGCTTTTAGCTCAGAAGCCATGTGTCCAGACAAAAGTCATTGTTTTGTTAATTTGAAAAACAAAAAATGGGTGTGCTTAAGTTTGCATCTTAAATGCCCCCCATATGTTAAAAGTGCCATCAGAGATGCTAGATGCTTTCAGAGGTGAGCCTGGTGGGAAGCGCAAGGTCATTTATGGGTGTGTCCTCAGAAGGGATAGTAGGACCCTGGCCCCTCCTCTCTCTCTCACCTCCTGACCATGGGGTGAGCATCTTTCTTCTGCTTCTTCCAATTTCATCTGCCACAGGCTTAGACAATAGGACCAGACAGTCATGGACTAGACCTTTGAAACCACAAGCCAAGAAAGAACTCCTTTGTAAGCTGATTATCTCAGTTGTTTAGTATAATGACAGAAAGCTGACCATAAGGTATTTGAAAGGCATTGGCCAAACTGTGCTTTAGGTATTAAATATGTATTTGTCAATTTGCTTTGTACTGTCTGCACTAGCAACCAGTTTTTTATGGGGAAGAGTTTGCTTTGATGAAAATAAATGATTATTATATCTTTAATACTATTTTATATTTATCTTGTGTGGTTTTTATCTTATTATTTATTGTTGTATGTATGTTGTTGGTTGTTTTTGCTCTTTTGGGGGGGGCTGTCACCCAGCTCCGAAATAAATCACATACGGAGGTTTATTCTTAATTATAAATGCCAGGCCTTAGCTTGGCTTGTTTTTGCTAGTTTTTCTTATCTTTAAATTATCCCATTTACCTTTTGTCTCTGGGCTTTTTCCTTTTCTTATTTCTGTATCTCTCACTTTTACTCTTACTCCATGGCTGGCTGGGTGGCTGGGTGGCTGGCCCTTAGCATTCTCCTCTCCTTGTTCTCTTGCTCTTTTTTCTCTCTTTCTCCAAGATTTCTCCTTCTATTTATTCTCTCTGCCTGCCAGCCCCATCTATCCTTTGTCCTGCCTCACTATTGGCCTTTCAGCTGTTTATTAGACCATCAGGTGTTTAGACAGGCAAAGTAACACAGCTTCACAGAGTTAAACAAATGCAACATAAAAGAATGCAACACATCGTTGCATCACTAAGCATATGTTCCACAGCACAAACAAATGTAACACATCTTAAAATAATATTTTACATCATATGTGTACATGTTTATCTGTGTTAGGAGTCTGTGCACATGAGTGTACTTATGCCCAGAGATCAGAAGTGGGCATCAAATCTCCTGGAGTTGGAATTACAGGTTATGAGTCACCCAACATGGGTATTTGGAAGTGGCCTGGGGTGGCTTTTAGCTGCTGACCCATCTCTCCATTCACTTTGCTTGATTTTCTTCCCTTAGTTTATCAACAATGATCAATTTACATCTAGGTTGAAAAGAATGCAGGAACTACAGATTTGATGAGAGAGAGCTGTGCAATTAGTAATGTCTGCAGTGGCCAGTGCATATGTGTTGGGGTTTACTTTAAGTTTCAACTAATAGGTTTAGAAACATATGGCTCCTGTGAAGCCAGTTTCAATCTCCACCAAAAGACCGTATTTAAATATATTGTTTGGAATATTTTATTCTGGGGAAAGATGGTATTCTCAGCAAGTTGGAACTCTCTCAGGCAGTTATAAATTTTTTGCAGGTTTCCAGAGTATTGCTAAAGGAATTACATTCAAGTTCCAAGTTACACTTAGCTGGCAAACTCTCAGTTGAAAGTTGCTTGGAAAGAGGATTTTTGTTATTCTTTAAAGAACAAAATAGAAAAACAGATCATGAGTTTTGTGCTGTCAGAATGGAGACACAATTCTATGACATGCTCATCTCTTCATTCACTTAGAAAGCACAGGGGCCACGAGCTGTGTAAGGACTTTCCAAGTTCAAAGCAGGTGCTAGCAAGACAATTTCAGGCTTGCTCTTTATTTAGCTCCAATGAGCCAAGCATGGGGACAAGCAGGCCAGAGTTAAATTAAACCACAATCAAAAATAACCAGGGTGATGGAGCGAGGTACTGGATTGTATCTAAAAAAAATATGCCTTTAAAAAACTGTGATTGCGACAACCTTCTCTTCCTGCCCTGCCCTGCACAACACATTTTATCAGTATTGGTGACAAGACACTGGCTCGAAAAGGCTGTGGTTCTTCTAGAGGGGTGGGATTATGCAATCTCCTCTGCAGATACATGAGCATTCTGGGGTGCAGTTGGAACAGGCCACCAGAAGGTTCTTGACACCTGACCTTCCCACTTGTGAGTTAAAGATTGCTGTTTTCTTGAAGTAACTTGCTTGGCTATTGGCTTTTTGTTTTTGTTGTTGTTTTGGTTTTTTTCGAGACAGAGTTTCTCTGTGTAGTTTTGGTGCTTGTCCTGGATCTCTCTCTGTAGACCAGGCTGGCCTCGAACTCACAGAGATCTACCTGGCTCTTCTGCCTCCCGAGTGCTGGGATTAAAGGCGTGCGCCACTACCGCCCGGCCGCTATTGGCTTTTTAAACCTTGTTTAGCTATAGCTGTGGAGAACAGCCTATTTGTAAATAAAACCTATTAATTCTAGCTCTTAGCTTGGACTCTTTCAAGAGCAGAGTCTGAGAGGCCTGGGAGCAGGTTATTTGGGAAGTGATCTCATAAAGCAAGAAGGAGAATCTACCAGATGGAGACAGAGAGGGAGGAAAAATCTAATACATGAGAATGTTACTGAGATCACACTGAGTTAGCAGTCTTGATTCTATCAAGACTTCCAGAAATGTGTACAGCTGTGTCCCAGGATCATCTGTAGGCAGAATGGGAGATTGGAACATATAGTCCTGGCTTCTGTCTCTATTGGCTCTAAGTTTCCCCAGGGCATTATCAAATAGCATACTCACCTGACTTCTGGGTTGGTTCTTGATCTCAGTCCCCCGTGCCATCAAAAGCCCTGTCTACCACTGCCTCATAGAAGGGCCCAAGGGACCTCGCCTTGAGATGGACTGTCAAAGCAAGGTGAAGCTGAGACAACGTAGGTTGTTTACTGTTCCCTTCAGTTGGAGGGAGCTGATGGAGACTGGGAGGGTCGGAGATGGGACCACAGAGGTGTCTGCTACAGTCCCTGACTGTGATTTGGAATTCAGCTCTACTCAGCAGTTTGATTTAGATCCTGTGGTCACAATCAACGCACTTGATGGTTGTCTGAATGGAAGATGCAGTTTTAAATCACTGTCCATGAAATGTTGCCACGTGAAGACTAACATCACAACAGTAGCTCATTTCTATCGAGATGTAATTTAAACCCTTGGGTTCTCTCCTCTCAGATACAACTTCCATATTTCCCTTCTACATGCTGCTCTCTCTACCCCAGGGGAAGGCTGGAGGCAACGTTGTAACATTTTAAACATGTCACTTGCCAGATACTATTCTACTACCATTCCTTATAGAGTCTGAGGAGACTATTGGCCAAGATGAGCTTTGGGGATCCGTGTGATTTTGATTTCTCCACATAGTTTCATCTCCACCATCAACCGGAGCATGGCCTGTAGCCTGAATCACCGGTAAAGAATACATAATGGAAGAACAACACAGTGTTAGTTATTGCCCAGCCTGCATTTCCTGAGTGCAGCAGGCAAACGATACTTCGGCAGATAGGTGTGGTGTCAGCTGCAAAGGCTTTGCGGTCTGCTGTGAGTCTGTGCTGCCCTGGCTGAGACACGGGGCAGGGTGAACGATCTCACTAGCTCTCATTTCACGTAAGATAGGGGCAATAATAACTTCCTTTGCTGGGTTGTCGTAAGGACTAAGCATCATGTAAAGTACTGAGCACACTCAACTTTTTATTCTATGTATACGTGTGTGTGCGTGCACGGGTGCGCGTGTGTGCATGTGTGTGTGGGTACTCTCAGGGGTCAGAAGAGGATGTCAAATTCTCCAAAAGTGGAGTTACAAATGGATGTTGGGAACTGAATTCTGGTCTTTGAGAAGGGCTCTTAACCACGGAGCTGTCTCTCTAGTCCCCAAACTGCATTATTTCTATTTTGCATCCCATTTTTACTTAGTTTCTGGGTAAAGCTTAGACTTACTGAAACAAATGCCGTGATTCATCCAGAGTAAGGTGGTTACCATTGAGCTGAGTGTGTAGTGGCAGGAGGGAGGTATGGTTCCCATTCAAACCTCCAGACAGATGGAACCACCGCTCAGCACCAAGGCAGCCTCTTCCAAACCAGAAGTACTCAGCAGCAAGAGGTCGCACAGCCCACATACCCCTACGGCCATGTCTCATTTTCTAGATGTGATGAGACAAAAGACAGGTCCCAAGTGGGATAGATGAGGCTAACTCTCATGAGACCTTCACTGTTGCCTAGCTATCTGGATCCTTTCCACAAGAAGATTTTGATTTAGTCTACAGCCCACGATGATTACCTGCAAGAGCATAGGTCTTCAAATTTTGGGTATAGTTCAGTAGTTAAGCAATTGCCTAGTATCCACAAGATCCTGGGTTCTACCTCAAGTGAAAAAAAACAAGACAAAAAAATGAAATTAAATGCAACACCACCTGGGACACTTGATGACTTTCCAAAAAGGTATGAAGGCATGCTTATATTTGAGGGAATTTATTTCCAGATACTCAATTTTCATATGCACCCTTTAGAAACAGAGTAGAGGTAATTTGAAAACAAGACTGTCTCTTCCATACTCCTTTCATCCTCTTCTTTCTCCTACTTGCTACTGACTGAAGGAATACATGTATCTTTCATCTATCCCACCTCATCCTGCCGTGTACCACCTAGCATGTACAAAACTGAAACCAGGCAAAGGGAGACGTGGAAAGACATGAGTCTTAAAAAGAACCTTGTATTTTCCTTATTCCGGATCCTGCTGAGAGCGCCTGTCAGCTGCTGCAGGATAATGAAGGTAAGTCTGGTTGGCTGACTGCTTTGGGATTAGGACTCTGACAGGCATTGTCCATTAATGAATGAACTAAATGTGATCCCCCAAATTGCATTACAATATTCAAAGCATCTGATACTATTGAAGCATTGAATAAAAAACGTATATTGGAAAGGGTTTATGAAATAAACAATAACTTAATTTTTCTAGTCCTTTATGTATATAATGTATTAAACATGTACCCTAGAATGAATGAAATATACAAATGACAGTCATTTGTTGTGTATGTATGTGTGTGTGTTTTGCATGTATGCGTGTGTATATGTTGTATATATGTGTGTTATGTGTGTGTATGTGTGTGATGCTGGGGATCGGACTCAAGGCCCTCTTCATACTTGATGAGTGTTGTACCACTGAGCTACATCTCCTAGACTTTTCATTTGATAAGTCTTAATAGAGGCACACTAGTGCCTCTTTATTAGAAGAGATGATCTAATGATGGGATAACACATCCGTTTGCAGGTTGGGTGAGTTTCAATTCTTTGATTTAAAAAAAATGAAGGAGAGTGTAATAGAGTTATCAGATCTCAGGCAGTAAGAGTAACTCATGATGACAGACCACCTTGCTAGTTTGGGGTACAAATCAAAGAGAGTTTAAAGAATGGAGTAGTGTCTCTAACACAGCCATGTGCCTTCCACACATACATACCTACATATTTATGTGAGCAGGTCATCTCGGCAACTACATCTTAAACACAGGAAGTAATAACGGTTGTTTCTGAAGCCATCTCACTCCAGCAAGCACTAACATCAACCCAGAAAAAAGTCTTCATCCCTCCCAACTGGAAATATGTTTCTAATGAAGTTTGACTTGTATGCTTAGCAGTTGTCAAAACTTGTAATACATTGATAATTTATTACTAAGAACTTCAAATCAGTTTGAACTCTGTGGGTAGAATGAAAGCCTGAGCTCACAGAATAGAAGAACTGAGTTCAGTGTAAGAGGCTGTGCCTACATCGGACAGTCTGCAAAAGCTGATTGACTGACTAGTACTTCAGTGATGTGTGAGGGGTTGGAATGTTTCAGATCCATAGCCAAATTACCTTGGGCTGTCTTGATACCCCTTGAATACCCATTTATTGCCCATTTCTGTACAAAAGCTAACATTATTGTGACCATTAGTTGAGTCCTTTTGGAGTGTATGATCAGATCCCCTAGTGTCCACAAACCATCAGACAGCATGTAAGGCCTGTATCAGAGGTTTCCACACTTTGCTGTGACCCACCCATCTGATGCTTCCACCAATGTGCTTGTAAAGTATTCTTATTTATTCTGCTACTCAGAACATCTCACGAAACTGTTACCATGTGGGAACACAGAATTTGGTATAACCTAAATCTCTGTTCCCAGACCATGGTCACTCACATTTGGTGTGAGTAGAATAAATGATCCCTGTGAGGTGAAATGTATTTTTAATGCCATTAGTATAAAACTTACAACACACGTTCCTTTAGGTGATAGAGGCCACTCTAGTAACATATTGTGTTCAGCTAGATAAATATGAGGACTATGATAGCTTAAAAGGTAACCTTTACAATATGCTAACATTATATAGTCTACAAATATTTAAATTTACAATGAAAAGTTTGAAGAATAACATTTGTAGGGCACAACAGTTTTTCAAAATTCTTCTAGAATTTCTGGACCTGATCGGGTCCTAGTCCTTTGGAATAATGTGTCTTTTGTTTTGAGGACATGGGAGAGGCAGGCCCAGGGTGACTGTTGCGTGGATGGGTCCCTGAGAGTTTGATATGAAGCCTAGCCTCTTTGAGTGTGACTTCAAATTCTGGATTGTTTCTGGAGCCAGCCTTATGTCTTACCCAGAAATAGGCTTTCGCTGCTATTTTAGAGCCTTTTTTGTTCAGATTTGTATCTCCTTAAATATGCTTTCTTCTTTGGGAGCATCCCTGACATGTGGGATGTTCATGTGAGTTCCTATCGCTACCACTTGAATCACGATTCTGTCCTAGCAAGTGTGTTATGCTCATTACTTCATCCAGTATGTGTATGCCAGGCACTGTTCAAGGAGCTGAACTTACCTCTGTGAAGAAAACAGGCATGGCTATACTTCGTGAAATACACCCCTCAATGGAGTTAGAGAAGTCAGTACAAAAGAGAAGCGTTGGGTAGACACGTGACTGAAGACAGTAAGTGCTGCATATGAATGGAACATTGTTGTTAGTGAGAAGAACCGGGGTACTTACTTTTATGTGGCTAGATAGGATAATAGAAACTGAAGTCAAAAGTGTGAGAAGAAGCCACCAAGCTAAAATGCTGAAATCGTGTCCCAGTGAATAGAAACAACACGTGGAAAGACCGGCGCTAAGCATCTGG